AGATTCTGAACTGGTAGTTAACCAAAAAAGGCTGGTCTTTGCTTAATTCTCTTATGCTCCAGCATCTTTCCTGAAGTCTTAATTTTTAATTTCACTTGAGTTACCACCAGTGCCCTGAGATGTGGTCCTTCTAGAAAATGATCACTTCTTTCCTAAGGATCAACATCCTTAATTTAATTCTTATGCATCCTTTCTGGAAATATCACATTTAAACCTTGATCACGTCTTAATAATCATTTCACTGTGAATAACTGTACTTGTGTTGTGGGTTGAATTGTGTCCCCTAAAAGATATGTTCAAGTTCTAACCCTCTCAACCTGTGAATGTGGCCCTATTTGGAAAGAGGGTCTTTGCAGATGTAATCAGTTAAGATGAGGTTTTACTGGGTTAGGGTGGGTCCTAACCCAGTGACTCGTGTGCTTATTAGAATAGGGAAAAATTTGGGAGCCAGCCCGGTGGTGTAGTGGTTAAGTTCACGCACTTGGCTTCAGTGGCCCGGGGTTCGTGGGTTTGGAACCCTGGGTGTGGACCAGTGCACCACTCATCAAGCCATGCTGTGGTGGCACTCACATACATAATGGAGGAAGATGGGCACAGATGTTAGCTCGGGGCCAATTTTCCTCAGCAAAAAAAAAAAAAGAACAGGGAAATTTGGACACAGAGATACACATGCTGAAGAAGGCCACGTGAAGACATGGGCAGGGAGAATGCGTGTGATGATGGAGGCAGAGATTGCAGTGATGCATCTACAAGCCAAGGGATGCCGAGGACTGTTAGCAAACACTGGAAACTAGGAAGAGACAAAGCATTCTTTTCTGGAGCCTTCAGAGGGAGCCTGGACCTGCCAACACCTTAATATAAGACTTCTTGCCGTCAGAACCATGAGACAGACAGAACCAACAGACAATAAATGTCTGTTGTTCTAAGCTACCCAGTTTGTGGTACTTTTTTACAGTAGCCCTGGGAAAGTAAAACAACGTGCTATATTATAAGTAAACATAGGTTAAATTGGTATCAAAACTCATTTTATTCTAAGTATATTTTATTGTTAGGTCAGGTGAGTAGGAAAATACCTGGTGGACTAACTCTTAATATTGAATTTTCTGAAAAGTTACAATACTCTAGCTTAGCAAATAATTTGTCCCCCAAAGTTTCTATTACTGTCTTTATACCAAGTGAAAAATATTATGAAGTCAGTGATGTACTTGAAAAATGTAGGACAAAACAGAATTTTTATTAAAATAGCCACATATTTGAGACAAAATTTTCAAAAGTTAAATTATCTGGCTGTTTACATTTTTTGTTCATGTCATCAGATACATTAGGTATGATTTAACCCACCATTAATTGTGTCATTCGTTCAGTTGATATTTATTAAACATCTAATGTTTGCCAGGCAGCAAGGTAGTGCTGTAGAGAACACTGGTAAATAAGAGAAAGGGTGTCAGCCCTTGAAGACATTACTCTGGCTTCAAAATGTAATCCATGTAGAAGAGGCCACAGAAGCCGCTTGGAGAAAGAGTCTACTTAGAAAATTCATCTTCACTGCTGTAGTTTCAACTGATCTTGTAAAATCGTGTTAGCATCATTTGCTTTTACTTACTCTGTGCTCCTGTATTATAGTGGAAAAAAATAAAATTTTATTTCTTGCACACACAATAAAATCAGCAATAATCAAAGTATGTGAAACCAAAAATATAATTCTTTATCAAATTAATTTTTAATGTTTTCTTTTCATTAATATCCAAGTGCATGCTTCATTGTACATGCGTTAGGATAGCTAAAATTTTGTGTTCTGATTTTTTTGCTTAGTACACAATCAATAATTTTGCTTTTCCATGTCGTTTTTATAATTAGTCTTTTGATCATTAAATTATACTGTATTAAATTGACCACAGTTTGTTTAATCAATCCTTTACAAAGATGAGGCTGTTTCTAGTTTTTATTATCATAAATAACACTGTAGTGAATACTTTGTGACTTTTTTGGGAGGAAGTTTACTCCTTAGGAAACTTAATATCGGGTGAAAGAGTTTAATGTATTTGTAGCTTTTAAAATGCAGTGACAGATTGCTTTCTAAAAGTGTTAGAGAACTTGACATTATCACTAGCAATTGAATGAAGACACCATTTCACTGCATGCTTTCTGACAAAGGGTATTATCAATATTTAAAATGGTTTGATTATTGAATATGTATACGGTAATCCAAAATGTATACTTGTTGCTTAAATATGTGTCTTTTGACAACTATGAGAGTGGACACTTTTCCATATGTTTGTTTATTACTTACATTTTATTATGTGATTTGTGTTTTCATATCCTTGCTTAATCATTTAACAGGCCCTTGAACTTTTCCTTGTCAATTTCTTTGTTCTCCATGTCACATTTATAATATTGACTGAAGATATTTTCCATAATCTGCTGTGTTCTTTTACTTTTCGGCTGTTTTTCTCTATTTAGAAATGTAATTTTGTTTTGTTTTTATTTAGCTGAATCTATTATCCCTTACCTTTGTAAGCTGGTACGGTGTTTTTACCATTCATCTTACCTGTTTATCTATTGGAATGAAAAGAAACATCAGATTCTCCCCTTTAAGAGAGCACTTGGCTAATGTGTTGTCCAGGTAGTGAGGAGAAATGGCTCTAAAGGAGATGATCGGCCACAGTTCCATCCTGGAGGATGAGGGAAGGGCTCGTGAGGCCGGCAGGTCAGCATCAATTGAACTGGTGGCTGGCACTTACTGTGGCGTGCACCATATCCAAGGCAAGCCTGAGCCAGAGTGGTCCTGGGTACCGGGGGAGGCAGCAGTGTACAGAACTAAAGATCAGGAGGTCCGCTACCATAGGAGGAGCAAGCAAGGCATCAGCAAGAATTGGGACCAGAGTGAGAGACCCAGATCTGATTCGAGGAACGAGTCCATAAGAAGATGGGAGAGGGTGGGAGAGAAAGATGGAGGTTGAGCCAAGAGACAGAGATGGGCTTTTTCAGGTCACCATTTCTCAGGCCCACATCGCAACACAAAAGTGACATCTTTAAGTCTAGAACTCTCTGCCTCCTTACCTTCCTGAATTCAAATGTACGCTGCCACACCTTTCAGTGTGCTTAATACCTACCCTTCCCCGTTCGCATGTCATATGAGCTTTAAATTATGCTTTTCTCTGACATGACGCTTCTCTGGTTTTGCAGTATTTTTAATCAGTATCTTATTAAGACTGTCACGTTGCATACATATAAGTTGCCATTGCCATTTTATGACTTTTAACTCTTAAGATTGGAAAAAAACTTTGATCTGTGTCTGTGTGTTTGTATATGCATAAAACAATTTATAATTCATATTTTAAATTTCCTTTCTAATTTTTAAGATGTCTTGTATTCTAATAAAGAAAGTAACAGGTTTATTGTAGAAAATATTGCAAAGCAGAAAAGAAAAGAAATTAAAACCATGTCTACCTGGTTGTAATAGGGAATATGTGAATGGATTTATGTAAAATTGGGCAAAACCCTGCATATGCTGAATGTTCAATAAACTGATTTGGGAACATATTGTTTCTGCAGATTGGAATACTTATTTTTCACTTAAGTTATATTTTCAGAAATTTTTGATATCACTAAATATTCCTTGAAATGTGTTTAATAATTTATGCCTGTGTTTATGCCTGTGATGAACACCTTCTTTTATGTAAATATTTTTCTAACCTCCCATATTCTTTTAATTTTATTTTTTGAATTAGAATTTGAAGGGCTAGAAGTGTATCATTTATTAGTGAGTTTGGACGTTGTTTTGTGGTGATGGACCATTTTTCTGTAGGAGTGTGTGTGTGTGTGCCTTTCTGTTTGGATTGTAAGAGCTCTTTATATGTGAAGGACATTAGCCATTAGCCCATTTGATATTTGTACAGATATTTCTTTTTATATTTTCGTGTATCTTTTTTTTTTTGGTGAGGAAGATTAGCCCTGAGCTAACATCTGTTGCCAATCCTCTTCTTTTTGCTGAGGAAGATTGGCCCTGGGCTAACATCAATGCCCATTTTCCTCTACTTTATATGTGGGATGCCTGCCATAGCACGGCTTGATAAGTGGTGCGTAGGTTCACACCCAGGATCCAAACCTACGAATCTTGGGCTGCTGAAGTGGAGTATGAGAACTTAACCACTACCCCACTGGGCTGGCCCCTATTTTTGTGTATCTTTTAACTTTGTTTATTGTGTGTGTGTATGTGTGTATTCAAGGGGGTGTTTGGCTTTTTTGTACTATATTCCATTGCTTCTATTATAAAATCCTTCTCTATCTGGGAATTAAAAAAAGATATGCCTATTTTTCTTAGAGTTTTTTAAACTTCAGTTTGCCTGGAAAATTTTTAATGTATGGCGTGGAGTAAAGATTAACTTTATTTGAGTAGGTAACCAGTTGTCTCACCATAGTTTATTGAGCAGTTGTCCTTCTCATGTATGTTTGTAATATCTTCTTTATCCTAATAGTCTTATTTTCATTCTCTTTTTAAAATTGGGCATGTATTTTATAACATTATATTCTTTAGAACTGAATAATGATCATCTGGTAATTCAGACAAATTTTCCTGTAATAGGAAGCTGTCGTGTTAACATGCACATTGCATTTCCTCAGTTTTATGTTCTTAAGAAAGTGAATGGTTAATGCAGACTCTTAATTTTTAATCTGTCAATTGCTTAATGACAGAGCTCTCTCAGCAAAACAGTGTACTAAGTGTTTATTACAGACCATGCCTCCAAGGTTGTCCACAGATGTTTTAGTTAATCTGCAGGGTTCCTGAGTAGCTATTCACATATCCCAATTTTACCATGATGTGATTTTCCAGATCACTATTTCTATCACCTATGAGGACAATATTAATGAATTTTGTTCTTTAAAAATAATGCTTCTACAGATTACCAACTATCACATAAACCATAGTGTGTTTTGGTAATAAATACAGATAACTTTTTCACTTTCCGCCTGTGTGTCCATCTTTTTGTTCTAGATAGTCCACTCTTAATTGAAGGAAGCTGCTTCTACGTGGGAGTGGCAGGAGAAGTGAGAAAACCACATGGAAGACACCCAGGATTTAAATGAACAATCAGTAAGTCTGAATTCAATCTCAGGTTTGCTGAAGAAAGTTGTGATAAGACTACTCAAACTCATACTAAAAGGAATATATTGTAAGAAGCAAGTTTTTTGTTAAATGTATTTTTTAGTCGATTTTTTAATTCTCTTTCAAGACCATAAAACAAACCTTTGGAAATTTATGGTGCTCCTGCTTAACGATATCACATTTTGAGGTCTCCCTTGATTGACTGCTTGTAAACCCAGTGGTAGAAAGACTAGAGCCTTGAAATCCTACTAGGGGATTTATGCAGTCTAGACATGTTTACACACTTCCTGAATGAGGGTTTATTCCAGAGTGCTTAGATAGCGCATGTGTTGTTGAATCTCAGAAGCATAAGTATATCACCAGCATGCTTGTTGTTCATTTCAAGGGTGGCAACTGCAGTCCTCAAGGGCTTTCCTGATTGTGCAAACCTCTTTGCAGAGTGAAGACTGCACAGGATTGGTGGCAGTCATTCTAAGATTCTGATTTCTCAAAGAGAAAGGATTTAGGTGGCCTTTCTGCTAACTCGTCAGTAGTGTCTCCATGACACTAGTTCTTTAGTGTGTGGAACTGGAGTCGGTGAGAGGGCTTCCCCCACACTCCCACCCGCCTGCCAACTGCGGCCCAAGCTGTTCTCCCCACCGACAGCTAGCCATGTCACAGGTAAGGGGAAATGTGTACCCACCAAGTATGTGTTCTGCAGGTTGATGCTGTTCTTTACTAGCTTGTATGATCATGACTTGATCTTAGAGTCTAATGTTTCACTCAGACAGCAGAGGACAGTGTATTTGTGTATAATAATGTGGTTATGATGAGTCCACTTTTAAAATACAGAGGAATATGTGTTCTGGTGTATCCATGCCGTTCCAAGTTAATTTGTGTTCTGTTAAGTATTTCATTTAAAAGAAGTGATAATCGAGTCTTTAACTTGCATACAATGACCATTGTCTAATTTCATTGTGTATTATTTAATTTCACATGGCATCATTACAGAAAAAAATGTTACAAAAAATTACAAAGCCATAAAACTATAAAAAATCTGTCAAGTAGTAGAGATGTTATTCCTCAAAAATTGCCTGACATTTTTAGAAATGTAGATAAATGGCAGCGGGAAGGCAGGGACTTCAAAGTAGTTTGATTTTTTTTAATGCTGGTTATCAAACTTAAATATTCGTAATGTGGACTCTAGCAAAATAGATGATAGTCAGCATGACAATATGTCACCCATGCCATCGCATGTCTGTAGATCCCAGTGGTGTCAGAGGTCTGTGGGTGTGACCACGTAGGTACCTGAGTGAACGACGGTGTCATCTTAGCGATGATGCTTCAAGAGAGGGCTATTGTTGATCTATACTTTGTTCTAACACACCGAAGGTTACTTAAAGGTTTGTGTGGGTGTGTGTGTGCGTGTGTGTATATGTGTTAGATTGACCAACTGTCCTTGTTTTCCAGAGACCTAGGGGTTTCCCGGGACATGGAACTTTCAGAGCTAAAGCAGGTGGAGTCCCCGAAAACCGGGATGGTTGACCGGTTGACCACACCCTAGGGTGTGTGTTTACTCAAGTTTTCAGTGTTTGTTTTCAGTGCAGGGGAGGTCAAAGAGAGTATGTTTTTCTGTTTAGCTTTAGAGTGAGGTTATTACCCAGGATGCTTCATATCACCTTTTACAAAATGAAACCCAGCACTTGTAAATCATCTAGTTTCCTCGCAGGGATATTTTAGGGTTGTGAAGCTCAAGATCTAAAAAAAATCTTTTTTTAAGTTTCCGGTGTTGCTAATGTGCAGCCAGGTTTGAGAACCAGAAATCTAGGCTGACCTTGTGGCCTGTCAGCTCGAACCCAGCTGCTGAATTTGTGGTGTGAACGGAAGAGATTTTGAGAGAAGAAAAGAATGATCTTCACCCTTCCCTCCTCTTTCCCCTCTCCCACATTAACTCTCCGCTTGAGGGTTGTGATCTGGTCAGAGTCAGATTGGGTGCTCCTGAGCTGTGGGGTGGTGGACAGGCCATCAGGAGTGGGCGCTTCTGCTTTAGACCACAGGAAGCTTGACGTTTGTGTCAAGAGTTAATGGCAATGGCTTTGATTTTATTAACATCGTAAATCCTTCCTCCTCCTTCAGCATCCTTAGACTTAGGAGAACATACACGCCAACTTGCTCATCTTGTTCATGTGCAAAGGGATGCTTGGGACTGTTCAGTGACTTGCCTGCGTTGGCATGGCTGGTGAGCCTCAGATTTGGGAGTTCACACAGGTCTTCTGACTCCAAGTCCAAAGCTCTCTCCATAACATCAACATGCCTTCTCGCTTTTGGGTTTTCTTATTTTGACATTCATCACTATAGAAAGGGCAAAATAATCAGAACCAGCTCCCTTTACATTGAGATTATTTCTACTTGAACGAAATCATCAAATGACTTTAAATCTTGCAGAGGATATTAACATCTCAAAACTTTTGGAAAAATGATACTTAGTTTTTGTTGATATAGCACAAATAGGATGGAATTAAAATAAAGTTCATAATAAGATGAAAGGGAATTTACTTAGATCATAGCTATTTTTGTTCAAGAAGAATTCTTTCTCTAGGCACAGATATAGCAAGAGGTGCCATTTATGGCTCATGCCCACTCCATCTAGCATATTCCGTACACTCTCTGCAATCCTTACCATATCCTTGCAATGTAATTGTTATGGTCACCATTTTACAGATAAGGAAATGGTGGCTTAAACAAAGTCAAACAACTGTTAAGTAGCAGAGATTAGAATTGAACCCACTTTTATCTGGTCCTAAAACCTATAATGGATTTTGCATGATACAACCTAGTCTAGTGGGCAAGGGCTGAGCTGTGAAATCAGACATCATCTCTGACACTTAAGTACCTCGTAATCATTGGGAAATTACTTAGACTCTTCCTCATCTGTAAAGTGGGGAGGATAATAAAAAGAAGTTATATGAAGGGCTTAGCACATGCCTGGCTTAGAGTAAAAACTCATCAGTGTTAGCTGCTGTTACAATACCTGACATCTTTAGATGGTCTTTAATGAGCGCGTTTTCATTCTTGCATATCCAACTAGCTTCTGGTGGACACCCTTGCCTAGAAGTGCATAGGTCTACAAACTCAGCAGATGAAAACTGAACTCACCAGCTCTTCTCTCTCCCAGTTTTTCTCCGTTTCCCCTCTGTTCTAGTTCTTCTCATCTCAGTGGATGGCACCATCCGCTGCTGAGTAGCTTAAGTCAGAGAACGGGTGGTCACCCTTTTCTCCTTCATCCCTGTCTCAAAGTCCTGTCCATTCTTAATTTTTAATATCTCTCAAAACTGTTCTCTTTGCTCTAGCTCCTTATTTTGGATCTTTATTTTATCTCTTCACTGTCTTTTTCTGCTTTAAGTTGCTTCTAGAGTGGTCTTTCTAAAATATGTACCTGATTATATCACTATTCTACTTAATATCCTTCACAGGCCGTCTCATGCCCTCAGGAGAAGGTCCCAAGTGTGTGTTAAAGCACACAGCCTTAATTGCTTACCTGTATTGCTCCCATCCTCTGTCTGGCTTCTTTCGTTTCCCTGAATCTCACAGGTTCTCTGAGGTTTCTGCGCCTTCGCTGGTGCTGTAGACTCTTCCCAGATGGGCCTCTTCCCTACATGACAACTTGTAAATCTTGAAGACTCACTATGGGTTTTACTCACTCTGAGCAAGCCTCTTCGACTGCCTCCTTCTCCGCACGCAGTCAGCCACGCTGGGTCAGGTGCCTCTACAGTGTGTGCCATATCCTTCGGCTTTTACACTGTCCCAGGACTTACCTTCCGGAACTGAAATCTTACCTGTTTCTTTGCCTCTCTACTAGATTATAAACTGCTTAAGAGTAATAGCGGGTCTTGTTCATCTTGTATCCTTACTTCTCAGCTGAATTCTTGGTGATATTCAGTAAAGGTTTCTTTCAAAAGCTTTTGTATACTGTTAGTAAGGTATGTTAATGAATAGCCTGAACAAATTTTAGAAAGCCAAAATGTTACTTCAGAATGGATTACTGACTCATGAATTCATGTTTCACTTAGAGTTTTAAAAAATTGCATATAACACATAATACTAGTTTAACAACAGGTGATCAAAACAAAGTTTGGTCTTTTAACAATTTTGTTTTTCTTGCATTATATCTGGATCTTATTTTGCAGTCTGGCTTAGAGGATCTAGGGAATTTTGAGGTAAGCAATTAAAGTAAGATTTAACTTTAATATTTGTCTGAAATTCTGTGTTAGAACTTCATAATTCTTTAGAAGCAGTTGGTTAGATCTAATTATAGCTTACTACAATTTTTAACTAAATGTTGTTCTTGTTAATAGACATGTGAATCTAGATTATACATAGCAGTATCAGTGTCTATACTAGCCATCCCTGGTGGTCTCGTGGCTAAGATCTGACGCTCTCACCACCGCAGCCTAGGTTCTCGTCCTGGTCAGGGAACCACACCAGCTGTCTTGTCGGTTGTCCTGCAGCAGCCGCCTGTTGCTGTGTTGCTGAAAGCTAGGCCACTGGGATTTCAAATACCAGCAGGGTCTCCCAGGGTGGACAGGTCTCAGAGGAGCTTCCAGATTAAGACAGACTAGGAGGAAGGACCCAGCCACCCACTTGCGAAAAATTGACCGTGAAAAACCCCGTGAACAGCAGTGGAGCATTGTCTGATATAGTGCAGAGGATGGCACGGAAAGACCAGGTAGGGTTCCGTTCTGCTGTCCACAGGGGCCCTGAAAGTCAGAATTGACTTGATGGCACTAACAGAATGTATCTATACTGATAATCAGAAGTTCCTTTGATACTGTGAAACATGGTGTATTCCCAGTATTCAAATAAAGGATGAGCAATATTTATTGTTTTTATAGCTTCTATAGTATCCTTACACATCAAGATATTTTAAAATCCTATTTTGGTGGTGCTGAATATTCTCACAAAGTTTTTCTGGTCTGATTCATTCATATCAAAGTGAGATGGATTCTGGT